TGGATGTAACGAGAAAAATACAATTAATTGTCAATCAATCAGGAATATAAAATATTTCTTTCTATTCTGTTTCTCTGGTGCACTAGTTCTGACTGTAGATCCTGTCCTATTCCTGTGCAGGGGTAAGGAAATTGTATGACCTCTCTTTATAAAACAGAAGGGAGGTCTATTTAATGCTTTACAAACTAGAATCAGTCATTTGCAAGTCTGTTTGTTGCATCCAGTGAAGAATGATTGGAACTGGCATTACGGAAGCCATTTCAGTCTTTGATCTCTTCTTTTTTCATGATGATGCTCAGACAATAATTTCACCTCTAACTTTGTCCTGTTCTCAGAATATACACAATGCAGTCAGTTGAAGGTGACATTTTGGAAGCTCATATAATGCTAACGAGGGATTTGGTTAGAAGAGTGAACCATCACAATGCTTTTTAAAGTTTGATATTAAAGGTTGTTTTTAAACAAGTAATAGTTTAACATTCAGGCATTCAACAACTTTAAGCACAAAATTGTGCAGGTATGGTTTTTAGTCTCATTCCGCTCCCCAGTTTGATTCTTGTGTCTTCTGTCCTTTGGTGTTCGTGAGTGTGGACGCTTTGAAGAAACTGCTTCTTTGTGTTACAGGTCATTAAGCTATGGTGCCATAGGAGTAATTGTTGGCCATGAGTTTACTCATGGATTTGATAGCAATGGTGAGTATTTGTCCGTATGTTGATAACTTTTTATTTTTAACAGAGTTGACAGATTAGAAAGCTGACTTATATATACTTTAGCTTTTTTGTTGTTAATTTTTGGTTTTTAACAATGCTGAATTGTGAAAAAAAAAAATTAAAGTTGTATTTTTTATTTATTTACGTACAATCTTGCTTGTCTGAACCAGATTTTGTTTGGTAAAGAATAATGCAAGTTTCTGACAAGTTACTGACACTTTCTGTTTATTTTGAATGGAAACTAAATCAACAACAGATTCAGAAAATCCTAGTTGTGGTGAAGTGGATAACTTCTGATTGATAAAAATTACTTCCAAGAAAACTTTTCATTTCAGTGTGACTTTTTTCAAAAGGCAGTTATGTACCAATATTAAAATACAACACTGGAAAAAAAGTGGAACAGAAAATGTATTGCAAAATATTAAAAACAAAACAAAACACAGAGAGAAAAAGGAAATGGTTTGAAAATGTCAAACCAATTGTCCTGAAAAACTGGGTGGAGTGGGGCATTACCACGATCTAACTTCGGTGCTCTCAGTAAAGTGCTTTTTAAAATTGGGCTTCCGAAGGGGGGCCAGGGTTGGGGCAGGGAGAGAGAGAAACATGAACCTCCTCCTCCAGGGAGAAATTTTGAGCATCTGACTGACATCCTGCTCTGACTCGCTGTCTAGAGAAACATCTTCCCACTGAAAATACAGGGAGTTTAAGGAAAAGCAGGCTTCTAGCTCACTGCCTCACAAAAGTTAGGTTGCTAATGTTGTGTTATTTTGAATACCGCTTAAAAAATAAAAAGAAAACCTTGTATCCTGTTGACACTGCTCCACAACATTTTGCATAAGCAAACACTTCTGAATGGCGAAATGTTTCTTGCCAAACTCCCATCTGCCCTCCTACTTCCATATCACACGGGTTATGGTGTAGCGAGTACATCCATGTATTTGAGTGGATAGTTTCATTTGATAAACTTGGCTTCTGGAACTGACCTTCATTTGAGCATAGCATGGTTAAGAGACCCTGCAGACGATATGACAGCACATGAGTACTGGCTGATTTTTCCATCCTGTAGTGGGATGTGGAGGGCCTGGACTTAGTCTTCAGTGCTGACCCAATGTTCCTAGAAGTCTGGCAGTCAGGTCTTATATAGTCTTCTGCTGCAGAAAGGTAGACACAAGAAGATGTGTTAGGACTTTTTTTCACAGCAGGTTTACCTGCTCATGTGGGTGCAGCCTTGCTCTGTGATTTGATTCTTCATTATGACTATGGGAAAAAGAGGTAGGGAGCAGCCAGTAGACATGATACCAAGTACTGAAGATATTTTCTTTCATGTTTTTATTTCTTTTTTTCCCTCTGTGTTGTCTTGCTCAAGATGACAAGTTCCCTAGAGATGTATGTATTTCTATATATGGAAGGTAAGAGCCTGGACAAGGGGTAGCGATCTGCTCAGGGAAGCAAATCTTAGATTCCTCCCTGATGGTCTGGAGACATGATGGAAATTAGATAATCTCCTATAAATGAGATGGAACAGGGACCTGAGGCTGAATCTTCCACAAGACATTGCTGTAACCATCAGCCTGGGGAATGGGCTGTATGTATTCTCTTTGCTTCCGTGAATAAGGTTCAAATGTTCTGGTTTTGCTTCAAGGCAGAAAATGGAAACTTCAGAAGTTTCCATGAAATGTATTTTTTTTTCTGGTCAAGCGTATAATTAATTAATTAATAATAAATTAGTTATCATCAAGTTTGCAGAATCAAAGACATATTGGCTGAGGATGAAAAATACTCACAATTATACTTACAAGAAAGCTCTTATGCCTTTCACACTATGTAATTATAAAATGTACTATAGAACTCATTAGTCATTACTATTTTTTTTCTGAAAATGGAAATTATGACAATAAATAGAATGCCAGCTTTTTACCACTGACTTGAATGAGGGCAAGATTTTTCTCACTGATCTTATCTATTTTGTACACACACTTGCATGAGTACATTCACCTTTCATTTTTGTCCCGGTGATAGATTCCAAAAGTGTGAAAGCATAGGTTTTTCTCCTCTAAAAACGTTTTTCTTTCTTTCTTTCTTTTTTTAAGGTCGAAAATATGACAAAAATGGAAATTTAGACCCTTGGTGGACAACTGACTCTGAAGAAAAATTTAAAGAGAAAACAAAATGCATGATTAATCAATACAGCAATTACTACTGGAAGAGAGCTGGCTTACATGTAGGTAAAACACCAGCGAGTGGAAGAAGTGGTGGGTTAGGAGTTTTTTGGTTTATTTTAAGTTATCTTTTTATAAATTCTGACATATTGGGATATTAGGCTACCAACTTCATTTCTCACAACAAATCATTTTTTGAAGAGAATAATTGTGACAAAAATTGTCTGTCAGATTTGATTAGTTCAGTCAAATACCACTACCCACACTCTGGTGACAGGGTTAAACCACTTCTCCCCATCACATTGTATTGGAATCAGAGAAAGAGGATGGAGCCACTCAGCAGGGCTGGTCTAATTACTGTGAGCATGTTAAATGTCTTCTGCAGATGAGGTCTGTAATGAAAACTGAGTAGTCACTCTTTTTAAAAAGAAGAATATAATAGCATGTTTTATAGATTCCTTTAGCAATTCTGCCTGTTATTTATTACAGCTATAAAATGGATCCACAACCCCTACTTTATTTCACATTCAACTCCTGCTATTTCTTCCATGTGTGCACACAGACCCAATTTGTATCTCAAATGAAGGGAGTAGGATAGTATTAGCTCATAGAAAAGTACTGAGAAGGAGAGCGCAAGGAAATGGTTTCTGTTTCATTGTCTATCAGAGCTGTGGGCTCCCCTGAAAATTTGCACATTATGTAAGTGTCAAAAATGACGGACAAGTAGGATAAATCCCAGATCTTCAGAAATCAATAGCTAAAATTCCATTAATGTTGGCTGGGATATGACTTTAATCTTATTTTTCAGGATAAAACACATACCCACGCCCCTACTCAATTCTACCACCTCTACTTATATTTTAGAATCAGAAATACAGTTATGTCTTTGCCTTTTAAGAATAGGGATGTCACACTGAATGCTTAGCAGCAATTGTAACACTTTCCCCAGGCTGCTTGTGTTAGTCTCAGAGATAACAAGGCCATATTGTAGTGCAGTCTGAAGTCCAACAACTCAGACTTGAAATACTTCATATAAGCTAGTTTACAAATAAAAATTCTTAGGCTCATTCCTGAATATCTGTAGGACAGAAACAGTCAATACAAAAATGCTACTTAAAGAAGGTCATTAAAACCTTCCACAAGGATGTGACTGAGCCCTTCCCACACTCCTGCCATTGGCTTGGCCATCCCCTTTACCTTCTGCAGTGTCTCTCGAAATGGGGTAGATCTGAATTTCCCCTCCAGGGTAGCTACAGCCTTTGAAGCCAGTGGATGGGCTTACTAGAGAGATCCTGTTACCCACAGCCTTGTCGTCTGTAAGGATTTTTCCCTCCTATTTCTGTGGGATAATCTAAAACAGTTGTTAGAGGGTAGAAGTAGAATCTTGATATTTTCTGACATATTTTATAGCTTCTGTATGGAGAGGTATGCATGCAAAGAGCTTTTTTTTTGCCTGTGATTTACATCAATATTTGTACATTCTGCAGATTTTTTTTAGCCCTGTAAGAATATTTTACATGGATCAAGAAACCTATTTACTATTCTTTCTCATTCAGCTTACAATAAAAATGTCTCCAGAAAAGAAGCATAATGAAAGAAAAAGTGGATATAGAAATAGCTTCAGAGCGCAGTAATCGCGTAAAGTCATCTGATCAAATAAAGGGCTTATCGTGTTCCCTGGGCCCTGTCATGAACTGTCTGCACAGAGTAGTCTCAGATACCCGACCCAGAGCTGCCTGAGATCAGCGGAAAGACTTTTTCTACTTGCTAAAATGACCTATGGCCCAAGTGCCACTGCTAGGTTACTCTCATTTTATGCTCTAAACCAGTCTACTTCACAAGCCCACTGCAAGAAAACGTATGAGTAGGTAGGCTAGAAAAAAAGGCAGCTGGTGGGTGTGCATGTCCCCTGGTGTCCCAGCACTTTTTCTCCTAAAAGCCTCTCTCCCACCTCCATCTCCAGCCTCCTGAGGGGAGGGAGAGCTGGCAGGAAAGGGCTGCACTTTCCTCTACTGCTCCCATTTCTCCTTTGTCACACCCTTGGGTATAATGCTGGACCCAAGGCATCAAGCAAGACACTTTGGGTCCCATGCAGGTGCTTGTCTGCACTGAGTGGTGGGGCTGTGCACACGTACCTGGGTACCCCCTAGGTCCTTTTACCTCTTCTCCATCATTTTCCCCTCTTTCACCATCCTGACACTAAGGTGGGTCCTGACACCAACCCCCTTATGCTTATCCCTGCAGCGTGGGAGAACCTGTCATCCAGGGGTTTGCAAGACAGCATTGACCTTCAGAGCTCTGCTCAAAACTGCTCAATTACCTTGCTCATTTGAGGCACGGTAGAGAGTAAACCCGCTTAATTACAAGTACAGTTTGTTAACAATAAGACCCTGGTAGGCTGGGTGATCAGAGATAATGCTGCACTTGCAGAAATGAGGATTTCTTCATAATGATATTGCACTTGTGATACCAGGAGACTGGCTTTTTCAGAAAGTTTAGAAAGCACTGCTTCTCACAAATTATTCTTGTTACTCTTGCTCTCGGAATCAATATTGGGGAAAAGCAACATGAATCTCCTTCACAGATATTTTTAGAGCACTGAATATACTCTCAATTTCAATTCTGTCTTTAACATTTTTTTAATTACGCTGTTTTATGTTATGACTTAAAAGTTATTTTAGCATCCCAGTACTATACAAAGAGTTATG